CAGTCCTGCGTTATATTTAAATAAGTTAAATAATGAAGAATCTGCGTAAACATATATATATTTCTCACACTGTGATAAAACGATAGTACCTAGAGCTATCAAATTTTTAATAACGTATATTTCACCCAAATATGGGAATCTGGAATTTGTTTCATTAGCTATTTCATATAATGTAAACCTTTAACGAATTTTTGATTAACAAGCTCAATGATTTGAAAGCGAGCAATGGTAACACTGTACAAAAAAAATATTTTTTTTTATCTCTAGCACGCGAGACTGTGTATCGGAAATTCTAAAGATATACTCATATTGAAATTATTTTGCGATATTGCTGTTTAACTGAAATTTATGGTTTAAGTGCAAAGATCCTGATATGATGTTTAATAAATAAAGATAATCAATCCACAAAAAGGATTAAAAATGTCTCTTTGGGCATAATGTAAAATCTGAAGGCTTTCAGATTTTTTTATTTTATTTTTTAATTTTAAACTCATTCAGTAATATGGTTGGTCTTTTATAACAACACAATTCCCTTAATGAAAAAACCCTATTTTTGTATTACTTCTGTGATCCACTAATAGTCAAGTTGGTAATAATGTGAAACTGTCAGTTTAAATATTTAAACTACAGTGAACAGCTAGTTGCAAGAGTGTTTTCCAAATGTGTAATGCCTTAGGAAGTCCTACAAGAGTACACTTCTCTCTCTTAGAAGATAATCATCATGTGCTTTGTTTTCAGCAAACCCAAAAATAGACTTTGACAATGATAAGATACCCAATTTTCAATCTTCATTTGTGAATTCATGACTATACAAGAAATAAAGCAGCAAAACTTTGTAGAACTGTGTTAAATGGGTATACATTTTTTGGATGGAAGTTTTAAGAAAATTAATATTTACAGGCATATTATGAATTGTCTGTCATAGTATTTAAATTCTTTTCATTATAAATCATAGCTCAAGAAAGCCACAATGTTCTTCAGAATTTCTTCAAAACAGTAAGAGATTGCACACTTCTGTAGCATTTAAAACACCCACAAGTGGGATACGTGTAAATTCACTGCCGCGGGTAAAACTACAGAAAATACTTACTTTAAAAATATTTATCTTTTACTGCTAGTCTAGTAAATATAATACATAAGAAAATTAGTAAGGCTCTAATTGTGCCTGACTTTGGTGGATAAATAGTTCACTAAAATGTGCAGCAATGAAACTTATTTAGAAGTGCACTTTTATCACAAATAAATGTTCAATGTCTCTCTTTTAATCCGTAACAGGGGAGGTCAAATATTGGGACATAACCGGGGATGGCGGTCAAAGAAACCATGTCTCATTATGGTTTAAATAAAATGTTCTAATCAAAATATTAAATTTGTTTTATACCCATAATTCTATAAACACTTATCTTCAAACTGAAAAAAAATTATTACAAGAAATCAATCAACACTAGAAACATTTTTCTGCAACATGAATTTTTTTGTGAAAACCGGCTTGCAAATGTAAATTGGCAATAAAACCTATTATTTTTTAGAATGATATATTTTCATTTACTTAACTGTGATAGATACATTAGTGAAAAAACAAATATTGTACAAACATAACAGTACCTACATCAGTAATACCATTGTGTTCTGCAAAGTATCAACCTATCAGCATATTCTTGTGCACTTCGGACATAATTTTTGTGTACGTACGAAACAAACTGGCGTTTTACAACTTAAGCATAAATATAAAGGTTTCAGTTCTTTTTCTCTAATATTTCGTTTGTGAAAAAGAGTTCCCAAACGCTTTTAGGATTCGCATTCATATATTCTTAATACTGGAAGATGAACTATATTATGCGCGGGAGTTCTCGCATTTCATTGAGGTTCAATAGATGACCACTTGAAGAGTTTTCTCCCATAATATTTTTTAGATGAAATGGCTTCAGTCTCTGGTTCAGTGATTCATTGTTAGATTCAGAAAGGTCTGATATTGTGGAATGCGAATTTTCATTTGCAAAATCTTCTTGGCATTCATCTTCGTCGCTAAATTCACTTTCCATTTCATCAAGAATTCTTTAGCACTTCTTATAACACAATTAGAAGGATATAGAATTCTTGGACCGAGTCTCATAGCTATGGTTTCCACCTGGGACAGAAATCGTAACACAGAGAGGGAGTTCGGTCTGACTACTGCTCTCCGACAAAAGAGTGGAATTTCACAATGAAGCAGGTGCAAAAAATGTTAGCCAATATGTGAGAATTATCAAAGTCACAAAAGGAGAAGCTAGCAGGAGAATCCACTCAAACATACTAAATATAGAATAGGGGTGATAGGAACATACCTATAGCGGTCTCTGAGACCGCACCTCCCCAGTTACAGGTTAAATGCTAATTGTAATATGGTCCAGAATCATTTTGGGATACCAGTGTTCCAGTGAAAAAATAAGATAAGCACATAATTTATCCTTTTTTTTCCCAAGTAATATTTCTGTTACTGGCTGTTGTAAAGTATTTAACAGTTAACATGCATATATCTTTGCAGCGAAAAGAGGGAGCTTTTTCACAATTCCTTATTATTTTCCTCGATAGATCACATTACATTTGTTTTTGTTTGTGTCCATTTCTTTCCATATAAAATTGGTTCACTCCTATGTCAGACTGCTCTTGAAATTAATTTTAAAAATCATCACCAAAATAATGTTGCTTTTCTGACTAATTTGTAGATTTATAATCTCTTTAGCATTAAATAAACATAAAAATGTGTTCATAAACTTCTGCTGCTTGTTCTGCTGAAAACAGTTTTTTTATAAGATAAAAATGAACAAATTTTATTAAAACATTGTCACTTTTTTTTATTTTATTTTGTTTCATTTATTTTATTTATTTATTTATTTATTTATTTTGTAAGCATTATCAGGTATCCATAATGTTGGCTAAATTTGTTATTGGTTAAATGGTTCTGTCGGCTAAATGTCCCTGTCCGCTAAGTGTCCTGTCGGCTAAATATCCATCAAGGTTCTGCCGGCTAAATGTCTGGTTAAGTGTCACAAACCACCTAGAAACTCCATAAATCACAAAAATTCATGTGGATCTAAAATTAATCTTAATTCAGTTATGCATTCTTAAGTTTTTTCACAAGATGCACAACACTGCATTATACTCACACACACAGGGGGAAAAAAAAAGCTATTTATATCAGAAAAAATGAATTTCATTTAAAATTTCTATAATCATCCTTTTAGTATTAATATGTAGCATATTTGCATAACAAAATATTCAAGCAAATGCTTGAATAGTAGTAATTTTAATCATAAAACAAATATTCAAATAAATATCAATAAATCTATAATTATGATTCATTTCAGTCTTGAAGATTTACCTATAGTAATATAACTATGACTTGCCTTTAATGAAATCAAAATTATACATTTTATAGAAATTACAAAATTGGTACTTTATTTGCTTTGCTAGAGGCATTTTAGAAAAACTGTATTTAGAAACCTAAAAGTTAAAATTTTTATAATAAAGAATTATATATTTTAAACAACATAATTTTTATTAAGTACTTGTTGGCAATTAATTTAAAAATTATGTTGTTGTTTCTAGAATTGTATTGAACATCTAATTTTTGTCATAATTTTCATTAAATGCTAATTAAATTCCCCTTATATTTTTAAATTAAAATGTATTAAAATAACAAACAGCATCAGTACTTTTCTATCTTATCCAAACTTGGCAATGTCATAAAACCTTATAACAATCAAGATGAATTGTACATATGAGAGTAGTTCAAGAATTCTAAGCATAAATATGATGGGTTAAGTTACTCAAATGACAACACATGCAAGGATAATCAGCCTAAAGAAAGGGATGCCTTTAGGAAGGGCTTTCCAAGGGAAACTTGATCGTATTCACATGGGAAAAACCACATACACAGCCAGCCCTGAGGGGGGGCAAATATGATGGAATGATTCAATGTTGTGAAATGACTGCATTATCTTTTGAGAGTATAAAAACGAAAGTATACACAGTAGTTATCGTTCTTTCATTTTTGAGAATTTATTAAATACTATCAGTCAACAATGTCTGCTAATATTAAAAATAACAATGATTATTTGATGACTGAGTTGAATGGGGAAATCATGATTGCCACCTAAGACAATATTCTCAAACAGTTAATTTAATATGTTATTTCAATGAAAATTTTGAAATATTGTTTAATATGCTGTTTAAACATAACAAAATTTAATATGTTGACTGCCATGAGGCACATGCACATTTTAACCCCAGACTGCTAATACTTGTGCATTGTTTATTTACAATATGTTATTTACAAATTATTTACAAATGCACAAAACTATCATTGCAGTACAGATACTATTATACATGACAGAAAAGAGTTTAATTTCAAATAATTTATATGTGCATAAATGCAATAATTATTTCCCATAAAAAGAAAAGTATCCAAAAAAGAAGTTAGAAGAATACACAAATGTGAATGATTCAGAACAAAAAGTTTTTCTATCAGACAAGTCAGATATTAATAGAAATTATATCCATGCTTTAGTTTATTCTTATAGAATAATAAATAATAAGGCTAAAGAAGTTTTTGTGAAAAATGTTGATTTTGTATTATTTTATGAATAAATCTTTTTTTTTTTTTTTTTTTTTTTTTTAATTTCTTTCTACTAATACATATTTACTGTTCATACACTAGGCACCCACTTCATATAATTAACATGTATTTGCTTGCTTGTATGATTTAATAGGTAGTATGAGAATATTCATAGCTGGAAATATAAATTAAATGGACAAATATGTGTACACTTGTCATGGATGCCCAGGGCCAAAATGCTGCCATTAGTTATCTGGCAGGTAATAAACACATTAACAAATTTTAGTGTTTTTTCATCCTCCAGATAGTTTACATAAATTAATAAAGTTTCATTTACATTTAGCCTACAGAAAATGGTCAATACTACTCACCTAAACAAAAAATGGTCAATTTTCTATTTAAATATTTTTTATAAACATTTTTTTTTTAATTTTTATTTAAAAAATATATACAAAATTTTACAATAGCAGCTTGGTAAAAATATTGTCACATTTTTTTAATACTCTTAGACCTCCAATCTAGTAAATCATCCTCCTCAAGATCTTCATCAGTACTTCCTGATATGTCTCCATCTCCTTCTTTCACTGGAGCCTTCATTTTAACTTCTTCAGCAAGGGTCTCTAAATTGTTTACTCTTTTCCATTGCTGTCTGGAAATATAAAATTATTCCCAAATAAATCTTTAACAATTCAAATACCATTTAAATCATATATATTTATAAAAGCAGATTCAAATTTAATTAACAATTTTCATTATTTTCAGGCTTGTTTTAAGGAAGAAAATGATAGTATGAAATTCATAATTTAGAATCTCGAAAAAGTTTTATAGATAACACTTTTAAGATAAAGAGCATAAATAGAATCTAAAAACCTACTAATTTCTTAAAAGATCTAGAATCAGTAAAGCATACAATTTACAATAAAGAAAAGGGGGGAACTGTGATTATCAATCTCTTCTATTGAATACACACAGTTAAGGCATTTGTTGGGCTGAAGAAAAACTGTAAATTACTGTAAAAAAAGTACCCTAAGTAAATAATGATAAATGTGCAAAACAGATGTGTTAACATTTAATCAAATTTGAACTGAAATTAGAGAACACAAATCAATGAATCATGTAAATTAAAAGCTCATACATCTAGTTTTAACTGTAAAATTATACTTAGCTTTTTATTGTTATTTATACATGTTGTCTATTATTTATATGCCTTTTAACTAATAAATAATATACAACATATTATAAATTACTATCATAATACATGCATAGGTTATCATGCTTTAAAAATGCAGTCAAAAACAAGTCATCATTTACATTTACTGAAATAAGTATTACACTAATTCTGATTTCTCTTTGGCAAAAGAAGTTACACCGAAAAATTTAATTCACCTAAGTAAAATGTAACCAAAATAATAATAATAATAATAATAATAATAATAATAATACAGATTCAAATCTTATTTAAGATAATAAATATCTTAAGGTCACTGTGAAGTTACTTTGAATGCAGAAACAAACACGATTCTTGCCCTTTTAATTTGAAGTCATTTTCATCTAGACTAAAACATACTAAACTAAAATTATTTCAAACTAAAAAGAAAAACAAACTTGTTCGTCTACCCATTTAAAATAACTTCACAATGATCTTCAAACATTTATTATCTCAGATAAGAACTTCAGTACAAAGATTCAGTACCTTCTGATTTTCTAATCATAGAAGCAATTATACTAATTGCATTGAGCTGCTAAAGATCTCCAATATGGTTGGCACTGAACTTTCATTCACAGAATGTAAGGGCTTTTTCCTTATCAAAACATATCCTTAAAGGTTTCAAAAAATTCATCTATGACAAAAACTACTTATAATATGATTCTGATGTAAAATATATTGTTTACATATATATTCTTGAAACCCAATTTTTGCATTGTTCCACTTTTCATTAGAATCTGTTACCATTCAGAAAAACATAGGATATTATTCTTTCATTTTTACTGTGTTATTAATTAGCAAACTAAACTATTTAAAAGCAATAGATGCAGTTCTTAAGAATATTAATTTTTTACATTTTAATCTAATTTAAATAAAAATGCATTAATTCATGTTATACCTAATTAAAAATATTCAATATTTATATAGAATAACATTCTATATTTTATTGCATATTTATTTATTCCTAAATGCATACTCATCTAATGTCCTATAAAATATTTTGCTATTCCAACTGGACCATCTCTATCAATAATCTCTATTGATAAACTGCATTAAAGAAATTTTTTGGGTGATCAATAAAATTTGAACCTTTTCAGGTTTTTTGTTTCGTTCTTGTAGTTGATTTTAATGCTTTTTGGCTAACTGTACATTGCTGGTCATTAAAATTGCAACAACAGGAAGAAATGATCTGAAGAATGTCAAAATCACACGAAAGCAAGAAGAGGTTGGGACATGCAAATGATTAGTATTTCAGCGCATTTAGATGACACAGGAGGGAGAAACAACATCTGAAGCACTGCATAAAAAAAAAAAAAGTTGTATAGTGGATTTCTCACTTGGGAACCGCTTTGCAAGATCAGAGCTTGCTCAGAATATCGTGTTATAGCTCAAATAAGATGAAGAAATGTTTACCAGCAAGTGTCGGAATTTGAGAGGCAGGTTTGTTGCTTATCAAGAGCATGGATTATTGTTCTGTGATGTTGTCCATCACACTGGTCGACATTCAAGCCTTGTCATGAACATGAAAATCAGTGGGTTGCAGAGGGTCATACTAAACAGCGTGCAGGATCTCAATGCCCTCCCATAACTAACGTCCAAGATAACAGACATACTGTGAGGTCAGGCCAACAACATCACGGACCATTAGTCATTAAATGGGCATGTTTCCATTCGTATGGTGCATGACGTTTGCAGCAGCATGGAATATCAGCACGGCAACCATTACTTTGGCTTCCCTTGACAATGTAGCATAGAGAGAGACAGCGACTCTGATGTGCAGAAAGACAAAGCTGGATACAGGAGTGGCACAATGTTGTCTTTCCAGATGAGTCCCGATTCTGTGTGCAGTATTTTGATGGCCGTATACATGTCTGGAGGCTCTGAGGAGATCATGTGTAAGCTGCCTGCATTCAGTATCAGCATAGAGGCCTTATACCTGGTGTGATGGTTTAGTCAGCTACTGGGTACACGACACGCATATCTCTAGTTTGGATCAATGGCAATTTAAATGCAGGTTGGTACATTTCTGATATCTTATGTCCAGTGGTTGTGCCTGATCTTTGAGGCCTACCAAACACCATATCCCAACAAGATAATTCAAGACTACACGATGCACATCCTGTTCTGACTTTCCTTGATACACAAGGTATTCGATTGCAGCCCTGTCCTGCATGGTCTCCAGATCTGTCACCCATTGAAAACATTTGGTCATGGGTTGCCGAGAGACTGGCCTGCCACCCCTCTTCAGCTAATACGGTTGATGAAGTGCAGCAAAGACTTGAAGTAGCATGGAATAAGTTGCCCATTTCTGTCATACAAACCCAGTTTGTCTCCATGCCTAACTGCGTAAAGGCTATTTTAGCTGCCAGAAGTGCCAGCTGTTTCTACTAATTTTGCACCCCTGGTAAACACCAAACTGCTTAAAAATTTAATCATTTTGTCCTCATGTCATACTGTTTACATATAATAACTATCTTTTTTGTATTTGCTTTCCTTCATGGTGTTGCAATTTTTATGACCATCAGTGTATTTTGTAATTTTCTTTCATTTTTGTACTGATAAACTCTTCAGTACGGAGGTAAAGTCTTTATTTACTAAGTACTTTTAAGTACAATGACGATGTAATTAATGTACCCTTTATTGATGTTAAACAAAATTAAATACAAACATTTACTTATTTTACATCGGTTGAGTTCTCATAAATAATTCTACAAATGTCTACAGTAGATTAAGACAATATAGATGAAGTAATACTTAATAAGGAAAATTATGCTGAAGAGTTCTAGCAGTGGGGAGTTTGAAATTACACAATTTAGGTTTCATTAACCCTCTGAACTGCATGGCCAGCTTTATCCAGTCATGAGATTTTGTATCACTTGGTATATATTAGCTTATAATTAACAATATTTTGCTTTCTTACTTTCTTTTAAATATAAATGTCATCTTAATAAATATAAGTTTATGAATATAGAGTTAGTAAATATACAAATTTTGCTAATAAAGGCTCTTTAAATCATGACAAGTCTTTATGACAGATCCAAAAACTCGAGCCGTTTAGAGGGTTAATACAGTAAATTTCATTCGTTCCTAGGAACAAACTTCCTTAGCAAAGGCTAAAAATGAAAACTTGGTAGATTTGATGCTTTACCAGTTCAGAAATTGCAGTCTTAACTAGTTAAGAGTAACCATAGGTTAGTAAATCATAATGATTTGTCATGCAAAATTAAAAAGCTGATCAAATACGTGAGTTTACAAGATTACTATACTTTTTTGTCCATCATATCCTTAAACATGAAAGACATGAAACTACTAGTGAAATGTTTCAAATTAGGAAAAAAAGCCAACTGAGAGTTACAGGTTTTAAATAAAACTGTTGATTTCAAGAATGATCTGACACAGGTCCCTCTTCTTGCTTCTAACAGGTGGCTGAAGAAAAAAACTAAATACATTGTTTTCCTTCCCTCAGCAAACATTTTCTGCTCTTGCAGAAAAAGAGCTATTGTCAGACTGCACTTGAAATTAATAGATTTATTGAAAAACTGATTCATTACATATTTGGTTGTTTGTTCTTTCCACTCTTTAAAAAACTTACCCTTGAAATCATTGCCACATTTTTTTATGATAACTTACTTATTTTCATTAACAGAAAATAAGCAGATTGATTTGCAAACAAGAGTTCAGAGTTCATTTTCTTTATCACAACATAGAAAAAAATTTTATTGAATTACTTTCAATTCTACAGATGAAAGGAATATGTAAATAGCCCAATAAGCAAAAAATTCAAATTAACATATTATTCATAACAGAATCTTGAAACATTCCATTTTTCAAATCTCTTAAAAAATATATTAACACTTTTTAGATTTATTTCAAACAAACTACATCAATTTAAAAAAAAAAAAAAATTAAGCTTACAGCAGTAAAATAAACTTATTTGTACATCAAACATTTTTCTTCTATTCTAATATTTCACAATCAGGTGGCAATGTAAACAAAGGTAGTTCCAGTTTGCATAGTCTGGCACTTTGTAACATTTTGATTTGCATCTTCTTGGAAAACAGTCTAGTGAATCATTTTAAGTAAATTAAAAGCATCTGTCAGAAAAAGTATTAATTCTTTAATGCTGTGAGTCTTTTATACTATTTTTAAACTGTTTTTTACATTATGACTTGTTACATTCTTCTAACAGATCTTTCTTTAAAGTCTTCTATATAAACCTTTAAACTATTTTGAATATTGTCATCAAGATCCATATGTCAATCCAACAATCACTTTAACCCTTTGAGGGTTATGAGCGAGTTCAGCTCACAATCAAATCGTGCTTCATAATGCGTACAAACGAGTTCCGCTCAGGAGCAGGATTTCGACCGAAACAGTTAGAAGCAAGCACTACTCGCGTAGTGAAATTTTTCCCCAATGTGCACTGATGAGCTGAGCTCATT